CATACAATAACCCGCTCAAATATGCCTATGTTGTCGGCCAAGGGGGCCACCCACAGGCCACAGTTCAGCCACAAGGCCCTGCGTTCGACAGTGCGAAACAACATACAATAACCCGCTCAAATATGCCTATGTTGTCGGCCAAGGGGGCCACCCACAGGCCACAGTTCAGCCACAAGGCCCTGCTCTCTTATACACATCTAGATGTGTATAAGAGACAGACAATGGAGATAAAAGCGAGTCCTTCTTGTACATAAAAAATTCGATTAACTGCTGCCCCCAAGCGCAGCCTTCAAAACTTCCCAAGACCACCGACCACCATAGCCACAAGGCCCTGCGTCCGACAGTGCGAAACAAGGCCCCTGAAACGAGGCTTCAGAGGCCCTGCGCCCAACAGTTGGCCAAAGTCAACTGTAACTCGGAATATTGACTGTCTCTTATACACATCTAGATGTGTATAAGAGACAGCAATAACCCGCTCAAATATGCCTATGTTGTCGGCCAAGGGGGCCACCCACAGGCCACAGTTCAGCCACAAGGCCCTGCGTCCGACAGTGCGAAACAAGGCCCCTGAAACGAGGCTTCAGAGGCCCTGCGCCCAACAGTTGGCCAAAGTCAACTGTAACTCGGAATATTGAGGCTCACGAGTCAAAGTCCTCATGGACCCAGTCAAGGCCACCGATCAGATACACACACACTTGGCTGTACGCAGGTATCCAGGCAGCATTTGGTCCAAGTGGAAGTCTGTAACTGTACGCGATCCAGGCCGTCGGCTGCAGAGTCAATCTGAGCCTTTTCAGCGTCAACATTATTTATTGACCCAGCCTCTGGGGGTCGACATTCAGTCTTGCACTTGCTGCTTGACGCTGGCACAACGCTGGCTTGACACCGGCAAGATGAAGGCACTACGCTGGCATTGTACGACGACGGCGCGAGACTGCTGCTTTGCGTGCTGGCGCCTCTCTGCTTCTGGCGCCAGTTGTTTTCTTGGTTGCTGATGTGGCACTTGCCAGGCTGTCTTTGGCATTGCTGGGATTGCTGACGTGGCGCATGCCACACTGTCCCCGACTCAGATTGGGATTTTGTGTCTTCTTGGCTGCTGACGTGGCACTTGCCACACTGTCTTCGGCATTGCTGATGTGGCGCATGCCACACTGTCTCTGACTCAGATTGGGATTTCAACAAGGATGGCGATCGGGAACCGCGTGGGATTAATTGAGTGAGGGAGAGAGGGAAACTTACCTGTTGATGCTGTCGACATTGCGCGCTGCAGAGACGTCTTCATGGAAGCTCTGTGCCTTCGTGGCACTATGCTGCGATCAGATCTTGTCAGAGTCATTTCTGGGATACTGTTTGCTGACGTGGACGTGGGGAGATGCCCAAAGGAGTGGGGATTGAGGGGGATCTATCTACAAGGACATTGATGGATACTTTCTCTTTCACCCTCTAAGTCTATTCTCCCTCCTATCATCTTCGTCCTATGGTTGCGAGACATTGTATTACAGATCACATTTCATGATTATTGGAGACATTTATCAGCGCTGAGACATTGTGCATTTCAACACGTGACGAGTTTCTCTCCTGACTGAGTTCATTACATACAAATGAATGTGAACCAAAAAGGCATCCACGTACATAACCGCAACATGTGAACCAAAAAGGCATCCACGTACATAACCGCAACATGTGAACCAAAAAGGCAT